GTGTAATTGAACATACCAAAATGTAGTATACATGGATAATAATAATTATAATGGTAAGTGTAAATAAATATGTGTCGCGTCGCGTTAGAATTCTTCGCTGAATTCTGACGGGTCATAAATCCGCCACGCTATGCTTTATCAATGTTGCCCGCCAAATTAATATTGAGCAACCAGTTCATTGATCGCGAACAAGAAAAATGGCTAAGATATGTCGAACGCTAGACTGCAATCGAGTCGAACACTGACGGTATCAACGTTTCACGAGAAATTTAAGGATAGTCGAACGTTAGTCAGACAACGTGAGTGCTGAAAAACGTAAGAACGACTGACTCCTCGATTTTCCTCGATCATTCGGAAAATTGGGAATTTGCTAAAAGGCTAACGGTGACCTGATTAGTTAAATGGGACCAATGGCATTTCCTGGGTCCGCGAATCGATTACTTTAAAAGGAGGAAAAGGTCCCTCGACCTAAGACAGTGGTGGAGGAACCCCTTCACTCAGGGTGACGTGCATGAAGATCACCCGCACATGGATGACCTTGTTGAAACCGCGTCTGGAAAATATCCGTTTATGACCCCATAGGTCGCCGAAGTCTAAAGGTACCACGCACGTGGACTTGAGCTGACTTCTGTAGGCCCCTTGTTGGACGAATCCCAAGTGCCGTCGCTTAACCTTATTGTAGGTGGGTCGCAATGCTTCATATGCATGGGACCAGTTGAAACAATAAACAGCAAGTTTCCAAATGATACAAAACGGCGATACGGCATGTTAGAAAATTCCGATGTTCTTGTTATTTGAACGTTTAGGATTTCACCGTTGTAGGACCGCAGCGGGGTCTTTCGAGCCGGTCTTTGTTCCGCGATGGAACAATATGTATATATAGTAAGTACGTTCCTGGCGCAATGAGACGATATTAATATTACCAAAAGATGCTATAATCACCTGGTGAATGGTGAGGGAATGACATTTATTAATTAGGGTTCAATAGCTAAAGTATTTCTGTGTGGAAAGCAGCGTAGGTCTAGAAGACCCGTTAGGGTCCTCTAGCAGCCAGGTCGAATCGTACCTTAGCAAAGTTATAGTATTGCCCTATTGGCACTCTGTGGCAAAAGTATTGTGTCTGCGTGACATCCTGTATGTAACTGTATCTCTACATTAACTATCACATATATCCACATATTCTATTCGACCTGTGTTTTATTCTTATCCGCAAAGGTAATTCGTACAGCATGTGCTTATCTAATTGTTAACTTAGAACAATTGTTTCTTTTCTACGATACAAGTTTCAAAACTCTTTAATAGTGATAAAATTTTAATACCTTTTATTAATAATAAAATTAGAAAGTTTTTGGTAAAATTCTAATGTTCATATCTAAACTTTCGAATGACATAACGATTTATTCCAAAATAAGAATTCGATGAAACGTAAATAAGAGATTAAATAAATTGTCGTATTAATTTTCTCGATACATATATACTATATAGCAAATAAAAATTTCATGTATGGTAAATAGAAATTATAATAAATTATCACGGAATTAATATTACAAAAAAATTCGTATCGAAGACATTTTTTATTTTCTAAGCAAAAATCAAGATATTTACAAATTGGTGTTCAATAAAGCTCTCAAAATTCTTTCCAATGTTAATATTTAAGCTCCCAATCGATATAAGCTTCGTCGCAAAATAATTCCATACAAAGTAAACAGGGATTCGATTAAATTGTCATAGAATTAATATCGCGAATGCGTTCGTAGAAATTTGTCGTGTATCGACATCGAAATATTTACAAATCTCCCTGTCTTAACATTTTCAAGTTAGATATAATACACAATTTCATTGATAAGAATTTCGAAATTTGCGTCGTGGAACAGAACTGGTTGAAGTGGTCTGAAGAAATACTTACAAGTATATACCTCTATGACTCACTATACCCAGTAACTGTAAATCCAACAAATTTTTCACCAGCTATTTTAACCCCTTGACCAAATATATAGTACATATACATTCAGGATCTAGCCCAATTCATATTATTGAATTATCAATTAGGGATATTAAAAAGGGACCATTTTTGGCATCGTCTGAAAAAATGAAAAATTCCAAGGAACAAAAAATTCCTTTATCACTTTGCCGAGAAATGATGGGAAAGTTATCAAAAATTTGTCAAAATATCTGAAAATGAGACTGATCAAGTACAGGGTATCCCAGTAACGGTAGTACATTTTTGACAATTCACAATTGACACAAAGTGATAAAGGAATTTTGTTGTTCCTTGAAAGATGCTTTTAAAAGTCTGGAAGGGACTTTTCAATTCCAGGCGATGCCAAAAATGGCCCTTTTTAACATCCTCCTTATATATCTCAATGTTCGTGTCATCTTTATTCTCATACTCTGCTAGACCTGGAAATAATTCACCAAATTAATCGACTTTTGCTTCATGCATATACATACTGTTATCGTGTTCTGTTTCATAGTGAATTCTAGTAAATTACGTGTTTGTAGTGCCTCATAAAATTGGTGACATCATAGTCACCAGGATAGGCTTTCGATAATGAACTCTAATGTTCAAGGAGATACCTAGGGAACACAGGATGCCTGCTGCTATGCTTAGGGAAGTGAAACTGCCTTTGGATCTACTGTCCAGCGAATCATACTATACTTCCAATATCAAGACACTATTATTTATGCAAAAATACGAAGACGAACAAACAGAGAGTGCTATATCCTGGTTTTCATCACTCGGCTACGCTGAAAGGACGTTAGTTCGGTTGACATTGGAATTATCGAAGAAATGAGGACAATGGTTCCAAGAAAATGTCAAGGACCTGGACTGAAGATTCGTGTAGACAAAGACCAACACCAGAGACGATATATACAGCCCATATAATACATGTACAGCCAAGTGAGCAGAACAAACTGACAATTAGGTTTATGAAATTTGTGGTTACGGAAAAACAGACTCACGTCATAATTTCAAAAAACTAAATCATTCGTTAATTGAACTGCAAAATATACGAGTTACGTATACTTATTGGAAAAAATGGACAAGAATAAATTTCGCCATTTAATTGAACGATAATATCTCGAAGATGAAAATATATGACAGGCAGCGTTTTCCCTGGCACTCATAGAAATTTTATTCAGCTACAATGAAAAGGCAATAGTAGACAATAGTATTCTCGTAAGCTCGGGCATGAACTTTGTTTCCTTAACCCTTTCGCTACAAGAATATCGTCGCGAAGTCTCTCCCGAAACATTACGATTATGCAATCTTTAGCATTCGGTCTTTTGACGCAAATCTTTCGAGGAAAATAAGAAAAGGAAAAACTGACCATCGCAATAGAGCTTGCAATTCTTTGCGAAGAGAGCAAAGAAGAATGGTAGCACTTGTCTTAATTTTTTACTCAATTTTTGTGGCCGGTGATTATAATCACTTGTCGTGTGTAGATGGCATCTCGTGACCGGTGACTATAGTCACCCGTAATAGCGAAAGGGTTAACCTCTTATGCGCCGTTACAGATGTCATTTTTGCGAACGACACGTCATTATAGTGGCTCACTCGCTCACCGTTTGAATTAAATGATCGTTTTCATGCTTTGTTTCACACTTCTTTTGACATTCACAACGTTTTATAACAGTGTTAACAATATACTGACAGAATATACAGTCTTTGTTTTTTATACGCCAGTGTGAGGTATGAATTGTTACTTTTCATTTAACATGTTCATTGCCCAGCGCGATTCAATTGAATTTCTCGCAGGGTCCAAATCTGACTGTTTGAGCGTCAGAACGTTATCGGACTGATGATTTAGATAGATCTAGTACAGACACCGCTCGTTAGATATTGCTCAATGAACCTTAGTTACGATTTTCGATTTCCGCGTAGCAGAATGTTCCGTAATCGTTTTGAATTACTATCAGCAAACTTGCATTTTGCAAATAAAGAAACGATAGAACAGAGTAGCAGACTTGGAAAAGTTTTACCACTCATAAACATATTGACAGACAATTACGAAAAATATAAAAAAAGCTACGACCTATTGTTCCAATTATCCAAAATCACCTCAAATGTGTTTAGACTGTTTTAACGAATACCATGCGACATAGTATAATGTAATATTTTATCCTAAATATAAATTAATAAAAAGTATAATATAATGTGTATATTTTTAATATTTTTATGTTATATATCCTATATTTATAATTCAGTGCTTATTCCATTAAATTCCTTTTAAAAATCCAACTGAAAATCCTATTTAACTTGAACAAGAAGAGCATCATATTTGGGTGACGGGGCCCCCACGGAAGTATACCTGTCACCCAAATATGGGTGACGCAGCGACGAACGTGTTAAATAAGCATATCATTTGCTCTTAATCATTATCCTTATAATTTTTTAAAACAGCATTTTCTGTCATGCGTTGCAGTGCTGTATCGTTTACGCGTATCCCGCGTTGAGTTCTGCTGTACAGAGAAACAGTCACTAACAGAGTTAAGAGGTTCAAAATATTACATAATCCTCTGAAACGAGATCTGAGTTATTATGTATCGATGTTTGACTGATCGAGTGATCGGCAGTTGTTTTTGTAAGAATAAGTGAGAGTGAGATATGGTGAGCAGGGTGAATGGAAAACATTTCAAACCGATAATCTCGGAACAATGCTCGAGAATGAGGTTTATCAGCTTGATTCATTTTCGTCGTTTATGGTAATCTTATCTTGAGACGAACAATGAATCCGAGTCAATTCTCTCTGTCCAAGATAGATGCACACTGTTGATACACTGTCGATACACTGCGTCCTGAAAGAAGACTGATACTGGACCACGTATGAAAATTCAATAGAGACGTCAGTTCGTATGCAAATAGAATTGGCGACTGTTTGGGAAGTTTCATTTGTGTAGTGAAATTTTCCATCGATCTAAGGAATTTCTCATCGTGTGTATGTTGATATCAGTGATTATCACGAGCGAAAGCGTCGCTATCGGTGATTCTCCATTCGTTATCTGGCCACGATCCCATCTTGGCGCCCTGTCATTCGGAAATGTCTCGAGTTCACGTTCGTGAAAATGTATGGCGCGTTCTCGTTGGGACATAAGAGTCTCTCGAATATCTCTGGCAGCCCTTGATCCGTCTTGTTACCGACTGGCTCCAACATGTTGTTCCACAGCAAATTTGCTCCTGAAACGGAGTGGAAGACGAGTGTCAGTTGTCATAAGTTTAGCAGAAAATTGAGAATAATTGTGGATAAATATATTGGATGTCTCGGCAATGGTAGTACAATCGGGACGGGAGTGATTCTACACAAAAAAACAAATCGAAAAAGAAAAAGAAAATTTTTTGATTCGAAGCTTCATTTTTGAGAAAATCGACTTTGAATATGTACAGAATGCGCTGATATACTGATGACCCATCCGCCATGGTCAAAGTTAAATGCACACGCACTCGATGAATATTCAAATTCGATTTTCTCGATAACGAGGCTTCAAATGAAAAAATTTTATTCCCTATATTCGTTTTGTTTTTCCATGTAGAATCTCGATTGTACGACTGATTGTAAACTCGATTGTACCACCGATACTCGTATGTTGATGGTCTATTCATATGAGTTATAGGTAAGTGCACACCATTCGGTGAATATTCAAAGTCGATTTTCTCGAAAATAAAGCTTCGACTCAAAAAATTTTATTTCGCCCTGAAATATGGAATGAAAATATAATGAATCACCCCCTTTCCGGTTGTACTACCGTTGCTGGAAGACCCCATGTAATTGTTTTTAATTTATGCTTTGGTATTTTAATGAGTTTCGTGTTGTGAAATTAAGCTAATATTCGATTAAATTTTTCTTCAGTTTTGGAGTGATCTTTATTTTGTGACAATTTGCTGTATTGTATTATATAGCTATTAATAATTTAACAATTTTATATAAAATTTATGAATATTATATTATTTTTTTCTATTCTGATGTATTGTATATGTACAATATATACAAATTTTTCTTTATTATATTTTACTATACAATATATATAATATATAAATATCATGCTACGTTGCATTATATTATATTAAATATTGTAAATATTTAAATAGTCAAACAAAAATTGAAGAACATGTAATATCAAAATAAATTAATCATATATATATATTAATTACTTATGTTACACAATTTGTGATTTGCATGTCGATATAGGACGATAGCAAATTTTAATATCGTTTAACGTAATTTATTTATTTCGTAAATAAAAATAATCTGTTCAGATAAGTTGATGTATCAGGATAACACCTTTCCTAGTTTAAAAAATTGGTATTCAGTGATTTGTCAGAGATTATGATTAATAGCTAAGAATAAAAAGCATTTTGTTTCATGACTATTCATGTTTCAATTCGAACAGCCAGAAGCATGCGTTGTAAAAACAGAAAGAGAAAGAAAAAGTAATGAGCCGTATTTAATAAAAATTATTTCTCTATGAATATTTAAACTATGATATACACTCACTACATGCCCTTGATATACAGTTAAAAGTCGTTTAACTATTACAGTCTTATATTTATAATAAATATATACGAATTAATTAATGGAAAAGTAATGTTTCTAATTAATTAATAATATATCAAATTAATTATATGTTAAAAAATAACGTATTACAATAATCAATATATACAAGTCATAGTGTGTTATTCCAACCTAATTCGTTCACAATGTGACGAAACGTTTAAGCATTTATCACATGTGATTCTTCCTTTGTGATCCCGGTTGTTTGTTACATGAGTCAAATTAAACAAAGAAGAGCAATATAAAGATCCTAATATTAACCTCAGTGGTAACTTTCTCTCATAATCATCGGTACGAAAATACCAAAAATGTACGTACTACTGTTTAAAAATGTTGAATCATTTTCAATATTTCTGATTTATGGAACGAGGAAAGAAATAAAGGTTGATGAAATTATTGTTCCTTGTTTTTAATAATGAAGCAGATGTTTTTTCGATCGTATTGTCATACTTGGTCTTCATATCTCCAAATATTAGTATTATATTTTATTGCTCCTCTGTTAGATTGATATATTTCAAGCTATTTTACGAATTACAAGAGTGACAATAACTCAATTTTTTTATTAGACAGCTAATTTTCAATGCTTTTTTCTAAAATATTTTCATTAAAAAGAAGAATTATTACGATAGAACGGACAAGTTTAAAGATTTGAGGTTGGCATTCTATTATTTTTTAATATTAATTTATTAATGATTTATTAAATAGTTTTTCTACAATATTTTTATTAAAAAGAAAAATCACTGCGATAGAAATGACAAGTTTAATGACTTGGGGGTTAACATTTTATTATTTTCTAATATTAATTTATTAATAATTTATTAAATACTTAATAATAATTAATAGTAATCGTTAATAACAATTGTAAATTATTAATAAAATAATTGATTAAATATTTAGTAGCCCAAACATCGATTCCTATTTTTTCTTACTTTATAAAAAAAATTCAAATTCCTTCATCATCGAATAAATGATACTAAACTTTTAAACAGTATACTATAAATTCAAAATACCAAGAAACATTTATCCTTCGTTCCATTCTACTCCAAACCACTTTCTATCATTCACCAATATAATAACAAGCCATTATTTATCATACTCTAGTATCAAAAAAGAAAAAACACGTCCAATAGAGACATTAAAAAATAATTCGGAGCATTTCATCTGGATTAAAAAAATTGACCTTGCATGAAGAACTTAATATCATTTTTAAATCGATCCTCTTACGCTCGTCGTACGACGTGGTTTTAATTGTCCGCGCCAAGTTCGTTGCCAAGTCATGCCACACTCGTACCACGAGTCATGTGTAGCTGAGAAACGGACAGACACTGGATATATTGCTTGACTGTCAAGCCATCCGTGACTCCTGATTAACTTCTCTTACAAAAAGTCTAACTACTTGACTTTGCTATACCCGCCGTTAACTGATTTGTTCTTTCGTTTAGGACGAATGACGTAGAGGAATCAGAATCGCCGCGTAGGCTTCCAAGATGTCAATTTACTCATTATTTTTCGGCGCGGAGAGCGTGATACGACCACGTTCGAACGTTGGAATCCTCGGGATCCAGTTGCTATGCCGATGGAGAGAGAACATTCGTGTTTAGCATTAAGCACTTGCAAGCTCCTAATAGGACATTTATAAATAGCAGTCATTTAAATTATAAGCGAGACATAATGCGAAACGTCGTATAATTAACATATTATTTGAATTTCTCTAAATAGCTTCGTTGAAAAGACTAAGTTCGTTTTTAGAACGCGTCTGGGAAATAAAAATTTGAATAAGAGTTATTAGATATTTTGATTCGTCTGAGCGTGGTCATGGAGAAGCGAAGGAGAAGTGTAGGAAAAGTTAGATGCGGCACAAAACAGAATTTATTTTTGAGATTTCGTTCATGTATTACTGTGGAATTCGAGTAATAATTGTTAAACGTTTCCTTCTATTTTTTTGGATACATTGTTACTTATATGCAACATTTATTAATGATATACTATAGATCTAAGGTTTTATTTATATCTTATTGTGAAATTTAAATAATAATAATTATATATTCTTCTTTTTTTTACCGAAGTTAGAAACAAATGAAGAAAAATTGTAAAAATAGTATAAGCAAAGTTTATTTTTTAAATTTCATTCATGTGTTACTGGATAATTGTTCTGTATCCTGGTTTTAAAATAACTATGAGAATAGCATAAACAAAATGTTTTTAAGATTTCACACACATGTTTTTAAACAATTTAAATAATAATTATTATGTGTCTTGCTTTACGTATCTAAACTACAAGAAATAAAGGTACAGATACATGATGAAAATTGTGAAACAGCGTAAACGAAATTAGTTTTTTACTGGATGTACTTGTTATCAGGAAATTTGAATAATAACTATTATACATTCTGATTGGTCAATTTAACTTGGAAAATGATGAAGAAAAACTATAGGAGTAGCATAAGTTACAGGAAAATTTAAATGGTAACTGTAGTTCCTTCTATTTTGTTAATTTAAATTACATAAAGATATGGATATAGCTTATTATGGCAATAATAGAAAAAGCATAATTAAAGATCGCTTGTGAAATTTTATTCACGTCTCACTACAAAGTTCAAATGATATTTATTGTACGTTTCACTTCATTCGTAAATTTAAAACAGAGAAAATTTACTTGGTTTTTAAATTTAAAGAAGAATTTAGCAATAGTATAATAGACACATGTATCATGAATAACGAAAGATAAGAAACGCTTAAAAACTCAGTGACTCAACAACTTTGAAGTTACTTGGTGAAACATTTAATGATCGAATGTTGCATTCAATGATTATATAATCGCATCTCTTAAAAATGATATAATTCTCTATCTTTGATTATAATTTCTTGCTTATTATTGTATAATTTAATTAAATCATAGTGTAATTTATTATATTTAAGCAATCTCTAGTTCATACTACTCTTATTAAAACGAGTGAGTACAGTATTACATAATCAATTACAATCATTTTTCCTTATAAGCAAAGAATAATTCGAATACAGTGGACTAATAATACAAATCATTTTTCATGTACACATAGTAATTTAGTGTACTCTATTAATTCGATATGACAAATTTAAACGTTTATTATTCTCTCCAATATTTGCATTTCTGAACATTTTCAACTCGAATTCGAATATTTCATTCTACAATCTGATTAAACTTTTTAATAATAACTTCTTCTCAAAAAATTTTTTAAATAAATACTGATAATGAAAGAATAAGATCAAGTATATTCATCAAATATAAATTATTACTAACTTTTTCTTTTACTCTTTAAATAAATTCTTATAAATTTTTTTTAAATTAAAGTTTCCTAAAACAAGATAAAAATATTTTTATCGTGATACAAAGAGTAGTGTATTATAAATCGTTTAATCTTCCAAAAAAGTGACATAATTTTATATTAATTTTATATTGAGCAATAAATTATAGTTCATTCCTGACGTCACTTAAAATAAGATAAAAATACTCGATTTTTCATATATAAAATTCATAAAAATGGATTTCACAAGGACATTAATTTTTTGTGTATATTGGTATAAGGCAGTAAATTGTAATAATTGAATATTATATAAAAAGATTTATATACAGTGGTAGTCAGAAGTTTTAAAGTTATATTTTCAAATGAGTTTATATATTGACAAAATTCTGATATGTCATCGATAATAGATACATTGCAATTTCAAATTTTATACAATCATAGACTATTTAAGTCTACTGAATATGCTAGTCTACTGGAATTCACTAAAAAACAAACCTAATTGATGAAGTATAATAGGAAATTACTTTACCGACATTGCTAATAATTTTGTAGTAAATACGACGTAAAAAATGATTAAATAAAGAAAAAGAAGAAAAACTATTCAAGACAGTATATTAAGATACAAGTTTCATTATAAGCACGCATAATTATATTCTTTTTTTTCGGTATATAATATTATTTAAGTTTCGGTTATAAATATACGTAATTGTTATTCACGTTCTTACCTAACGCGTGTCCCTTCTGACTGAAGTGAAAGCAATCGTACGTCACCAGACTGGGGTCAATCGGTGGTGCTCCCCTTGGATCTGCATTCGGCGCATTGAATAATTTAATAAACGGCTGCAGTACCACCGTGAAATCTGGCGATTTGTCATATCTGAAACAAGAATAAAGTAATACTTGAATTTGCATCAATTTTTAATCTACTCTTCAATTTGTAATATAAACGAAATATAGAAGACCCAAAAATCAAGAAATTTGAAAATTGAATGTAAAAATTTAAATAAAAGGAATGCGATTTTTATATTATAACATATCATGAAATTTCTTTATGTAAAATTTAACAGTTAATTTTTCTTGATTTTCAGGTTAGTTAATTATTGCTCGTACCTCCCTGAGTATATTAAAGCTTCGATGGCTTGCTGATAAAGATGCGACATTTTCGAAGCTGCAATGTCCGGTCGACTACCTTTATGCATGCAAGCACAGTAAAGTGGATGCAATATATGGCACATGGTACTTCGTGGTACTCTAATAGAAACTGTAACGTCTGCACGCATATTGGAATAATTTAATTAGTAACGCGTATAAAACGATATCCATATATTTAGATGTATTTTATTTCGCAAAATTTGCTATTTTAGAAATAATCTATAATTATAATTTTCGTCAAATTTGGGAAATTTACGTTTCCAAATTAAAATTATACATTCATATTCAATTTTGTATAATAAAATATCAAATTGCAATTATTATTATCATAATTATATGATTATTCGAATTATAAAAATTAAAAAATTATAGTGAAATTTTATTATGCATATAATAAAATATTTATACGAAATTTTTCGTTGAATTAGTTTTCCAATAATTATACAACAGTATGTTTATTAAATATTTTATCTAATAGATATAACTAATAATCACTTTCTGTACAGTTCATATTTTTTAAAGCAAATTTCACACTCTATTGCTAATCAATATTTTCGTGAATCTTTTTGTACATAATACTATGTCACCATACAAAAGAAGTTCAAAGTATATTCTAATTTCTTTTGACAAAAATATTGCTTTTAGCCCCATGAGAAACTTTGCATTGTAAAATTATTTCATTGTAATTAACTACTATGCACCTATTTCATTCACAGTAAAATTGCACAAATTTTTGTGGACTTATCCAAATTATGCGAACGTTGAAATGCGTTAAATATAATTTTATTCCAATGCGAGTGTAATTCATCTTTATGTGCTTTAGCATGAAAACTCACGACGAGTTAAACTCGTTACTGCGATATAAGGGATTCAATTACATTTGGTTTTAAATTACATTGGAAGAAAATTTGTATTTGAAAAAATTTGAAGAAAGTGAGTCTTTTGATGAAATATTTGCAACAAGCCCTGCTCTATTTTTACCTATGACTGGCACAAGATTGACTAATGTACGAGGTAGAACTATTTTCAGGAAGTCCAGCGTCCTCCGCAAGTGAAGAGCATAGCGAAGCGGCGAAAATTGCGCTGGACTGTAGCATTGCGCCGAGCAAATGTCATTTGCGCCAAAGAAAATTGTAATTAGCTGTAGCACATGGAATATTCTAATTAGACATAACTCATTCAGTTGGTCATAAGAAATATGGTTGTTTATAACCCTTTCTCTGTATTCTCACTTTTTCATTATTACCATAAATATACTCTATTAAATACTCCAACGGTTCATAGCGGTTCTCAGCCTGTGGTATGTTGAATATATATACGTTGAATATTCGCAGGTAATTCGTCAGCTGAACCAAATTATATTAAATTAGAAAATTATTTATATTATCTCTTTTATGTAAATGGATAATACACACACGAAAGGGTTGAGAACCACTGCTTTGGCACAACATAATTTACTTTTTGCATTCATTTTAAGTATAAAATACAGAGAATAATAATCAAGCTACACATGTGTCAAAATATTTTTGTCATTGCTTATAGAATTTATAATTACAATTGGCGAAGAAGGATTTCTCTGACAAAAACAAAAGTGTAGAATGAAATTTTTGAATTATCTCGTACTCAATTTCTTTATATAATGATTATATCGTAAATTTTATTCTGTATTTTCAATTTTCCAGTTATTATAATTGGAAATATTGTGGATTATTTGATATACCTTCCAGTGTTTCCTTATGTCTATCCTTGGATCGTTTTTGATTCTTTGAACAAGAATTTGAGCTTGTTGCAAGGCATCCTCAGTAGCTGCGACAGGGAAGGCAATATTTAGCTTCGCTTTCGACGAAATAAATTCACCTGTGCCCGTTGAATATCCGATTAAATCTGGATTGAACACCTGGTGCAATAACAAGGATAATTATATATGTATAATGATGTTAAATTAGAAGTGACGAAATTTCTAAGACATGAGATATTCATTGAATTATATAAAAATATTCTTTAGTTTATAGTTTCTTATACTCATTACAAGTAATTCAAAATCCTTCATTAATAAACATCGATGTCAAATCTATATTTTTATGCCTTCATTGGCCATATTCATTTTTTATATTTTACCATCCACCTTTAATTTCTATATTTTTATTGAAATTATTTATTAAACTATAAGATAGTTCTTAAAAGGCTAGAGTATCTTTCGAAGATATTAAAAATGAAAAAGAATTTTTTAATTTAAATTAAGAAGGAAGAAGACAACGAATGAGGCATATGAAACAAAGGCTTATTCAAACGACTGCTACCCTAATTAAACCAGACCACTTCGTTGCTTTCCTAATTAACGTACCTTAATAACAAAAACGTAAGTGCTTTGTACACACAGAGCGTGCACAACATTTGAGTCTAATTTCTTGAATTCATTTCAAGGAGAACGTGAATTTAATGCATTTAATACCTTTAGCAAATTAGGAACGGTTAAGAATCGTCTCCAGTCACCTTGACCACCCACGCACCAGCTAACTCCACGTGCTTCTATAAATGTTCCTATTGCAAACTCCTCCAGAGCTCCACTTCCTGCGACCAATGAGTCGCCTAGACCGCCGACTACATCTATGTCACCGGGACGTAGACGGTGCACGCTGTCAGGCGCTAATAATGACCTAAAAGGGACACATACATATATTCTTTCAAACTATAACAAATTATATTATATATTATATTACTACATTATTATACTATAATGTGTAGTATAATTATAATGATATTATCATGTAGAGTAAACTGTACATAATAATGTATATCTTAATAATAATAAAAAACAATAATGTAATTACATTATTATTATATAGAATAAATTATATATAATAAATTGAAACAATTTCGTATATAATGCCAGAAGTATAATTTAATGAGATTATTTATTTATCAAAAACTCGTTGATACTTATTTATAACAAATTACTTTTTAGGCTATATTTTTTAGAGAAAATTCTGTTAATTATAATTTAAAAATTTATACAGTAGCTAGTAATAAAGGATGTATAACAGTGACAAGTCAAGTTTAGGAGTTGGAATTATCCTCCAAAGTCTTAGTATTTTTTTCAAACGTTATTACAGGCAAAAACAGGTTTTTTAATAAATGTAAAATAGAGATTTAATACTACTTAACTTCGAAAATTATTATCATTAATTTTATATAAAAATAATTAATAGGACATAACAAATAAATATTTTTTTATTTTTCTTCTTTTTATATAATTTTTTATAAGCTGACCATGAAAGATATAATAGCTCAAAGACATTTTAATCAGACCCACCTTCCAAACTGTACATTACACGGAAATGGAACATAATCAGGAACTTGAGGTTGGTTTCTTACACCACTACATATCACAGGATACACTATGCCAGTTTTGTCGACATCATCCTAAAACATTTATTATTAAAGTACAATTACCTTTAATGAGGTGAGTTTCTTTAGTAATGAAATAGTAGAAAAATTATTTAGTTATCTGTTAATATTAAACAAAAATCGAAATGTTATTAATTTTTGTCAATTTAAAATTGATATCAACTGTAGGTAAATTAATAACGATATTATCATAAAGTAATACTTTAAATAATAAAATTAATTTGTTTATCAATTTTTCACTTTGTTTTAATATTTTAGTATTATAAGATTTTTAAAAACTGATTAACAAAAGTTAGAAACATTATTTAAATTAACATTTAAATCCATCTACATCAACCTTTACAAATATTGACAAGAACAAATCGAAGACAAACAATACAATCGCATCAATGATCAGTATCCTATTGTGTTGGAAATATACCATGTAAAGAACTCAGAAGGAAGATATACACACTTATCATACTGAATTGCTATACAAATATTATTCATTGATATACTCCAACTAGAGATTCATTTTTCGAAAATATCCTTTTCATATGCTTATCGTATATTTTTCAGTGTAACATGTAGCTATTTTCAGTTCCTCTTTCAACAAATTCCCTAAATAAATAATATCTTAAAGAAATTTCATTTCGTGTCATCTCAAATATTTACCCAATTGTTTGCATACGTCAAATAGGGAATTCTTCGTATTAGTTTACTATCTGTGTATTATCTATAGATCTTCGCCAAACATTTTGTAGAAACGTGATAATCGTCATTAACAGTAAATAAGGAATTCACGTGTAACACAAAGAAGCATTGACATAGTTAGAAGACGAAGAAACTTTTCATATGAGTCACATGACAGTATAATGAGTTTTGCTATATTACGAAGGGCAGGTAAAAACTCTAGCTACGGCACTGCGACGTAGCAACCTAACCTATTCCCCGCGAAATACGAAAGTTCCAATGCGTACTATTTTCCGGCGTTCGCAGCACCATAACCGGAACAGATACAATACAGTTAGTTTCATCAGAATTTTATCCTTTACCGATTGCCAGTGTACACGGGTTTAGCACACGGTGCACGTCGCGCCACCACGTTTGCTTTCTTTCATTTGCATTCGTCCGTCTAGTGGCTTAAATATTTCGCAAATAATTTACCGACGCTGGTGAATCGAAATGGGCCGACTGTGCGGACAAGAAGAACAGAAATCGTCTTGTTCTTTTTCTCGTAACGAAATGACGAACGAAAAGAAAAGTACTGGCCTTTCTCCAATCGCTCGGTATGCAAAGCATTCTGTTTCTCGGTAGTCTAGTCGTTCTTCCGGCTTGACGTAACAGCGCTGTTGGTAACGTCGCGTTAACGTGTCACGTTCTAGAGAGTTATCAATCGAACCGACCATGTCAGCATTGTCGCGCTTCATATCTCGATTAATCGATAGCTGTAAACGATAGTTTGTGGAATAGACGAAGTTAGCTGTATAATATGACATGTTTTGATTTCGGTTAGTCTGCCTTGGATATACAACGAAGCCATTAGAGAATTATAAAGACGTGAATTTAATACATGTGCTGGTAATGTTTTATTGATTGTTATGATATTATTGCTGATCAGTGTGTAACAATTGTTTACAATGATTAGAATAAAATAAACATCGTTTATTGAAAAAATTGGAAGATTCTAATCGAAAACGACTTTGACAATTTTATTAATTTTTCAAGGAAGAAAGAAGTCCTCTAGCATCTTCAATTTATATTCATAGAACCTGGGAATTTTTCTTGTATTATAATTCAGGAAATTCGTTGTTTCTTGTAATATCGATTCTAATTATTTGAACGCGTTATTATTTACAATTAGAAAATTGAAGAAATTGACAAAATCGTTTTTTATATCAACATTGCAGTTTTGCAAAAGAGGTAACTAGACAATATTATAAGGTAAAAAGGCCAATATTATGAGATAATTAAAGTTGCGTGACAATCAACTTATTAACCCTTTGTACTGTAATAACGAGTCTAAATTGTCACGAGTCTTTCAAGTCAAATCTCACAATTATAACATATTTTTATCACGTAACCACAATTATATTTGACGTGCACAAAATTTATGGAAATTCTAAAATTTTTTTTTATTTTATCGTGGATGGAATAGATGTGTATAGTGGTTAACTAAAATGAAATGTTACTTTAATATGCAATATATTTAACACGTAGTAAAATCCGACGATTCATTCATTATGTTACCAGTGACCAAGGAAAATTTCTATTATTGCATAATGTCTATAATTATAAGTATGTAAATTTGTAAATATGTAAAAATGACACATTTCGCAATTTAATAAATTATAGGAAATATTTTACTATATATATGTTTATTAATAATGTTAACTAATAAAATAATCAATATAAAGGATAAAAAATAAATGACAATGTCAATTAATAAAATAATTAAAATAATTGATTAAAAATAATAATGAAAAATAAATAATGTTAATTAATAAAATAATTAATACAATAAATTGATTATTTTATTAATTGATATTATTATTTATTTTTTATCCTTTTTATTGATTATTTTATTTTATATTATTTATTTATATATATAATCAATTTTTGTATTAATTGATATTATTATTTATTTTTTATCGTTTCAGCATTTAAACGTATTTATTTCTATTTGTAATTATTTTGCAAAATCATAAAGTGCTTTGTAGTTTTTTCTGAAATTCATGATGTGGTAATTTAGAAATCAAAGCACTACGAAGAGCTGTAATTCAAATGATAATATCACAATCAGCTTTCGAGTCACGTTATGTCATTTAGTAACATGCTAAATCCTCTATGGATGAATTTTCTGTTTTTTCTCAACGACGATTTACGAATTATTTCAAAAATTCTGTTCTTTTATATTCCAGTATTTCTCATGAAATTTAAATTCAAATTATCTATTTGTAATATTCTAGTCTTTGTGTAATTAATAGTTAACTGCAAATTCGAAAATTTTAATGATACATTGTAGTGAAATTATACTGTACATTTACATAGAAATTGAGGAAATAAATAAACACGGTGTTCTGTTCGCTACAATTAAAATATTATTTTTATTTCATTATTGTTCGAAATATCATATGTCAATACAAATTAGTATTTCACAAATACACAATGAATAGATAAAATTATCAAACAAAGATGGCAAAATAAAAAAAGATAAACAAAAATTTTAAATTGAATATTATTAACAGCAATGTATCCTGAACAAATTAGAAGTCCATACTACAGAATCTTTCATTTAATGCGAATATAATAAAATCTGTACTCAAAATTTTAGATCATAATTTTGATTATTTCTTCTTAAAAGAAATTTTTAAATGTTACAGAAGCATGGATACATATATATACGAAATTTAGAAAAAAGACGTTGCATAATTCACTGCCAAAAAATGTCAAGGATGGCCTAAAAAACATATTTTACAATATTTATTAAACAAGAATTTCTTTTTAGACAATGATATATTACTTATCCAACAGTTGATAACAAATAATTAATAATCATAAATTAAAGACGGACATAAGAAACATATAATAAAAGATGAAAAACAAAGTAATAATTTGCAATTCTTATTATATCTTTTATTTTCTGATATATATATAATTAAAAATATATACTATAAAATAATATTAAAATTAGAAATGGAATGAAGAATTCATACATCAATCTACATCATTACACTTCAATAAACAGTAAATTTTTATATATATACATATTTCTCACATATTTCACATATTTTGGATAATGCTTTTAATTTTAATATATATTATATTAATCTTTATCTAAGAACTTAATCAAAAGTATGTGAAGTAAAAATTTACTGTTTATTGATATATAATGATGTAGATTGATGTATGATCTCTTCATCCAATTTTTAATTTTAATATTATTTTATAGTATATATTTTTAATTTAATTTAATAATTTGTAATTATTTTGCAAAATCATAAAGTGCTTTGTAGTTTTTTCTGAAATTCATGATGTGGTAATTTAGAAATCAAAGCACTACGAAGAGCTGTAATTCAAATGATAATATCACAATCAGCTTTCGAGTCACGTTATGTCATTTAGTAACATGCTAAATCCTCTATGGATGAATTTTCTGTTTTTTCTCAACGACGATTTACGAATTATTTCAAAAATTCTGTTCTTTTATATTCCAGTATTTCTCATGAAATTTAAATTCAAATTATCTATTTGTAATATTCTAGTCTTTGTGTAATTAATAGTTAACTGCAAATTCGAAAATTTTAATGATACATTGTAGTGAAATTATACTGTACATTTACATAGAAATTGAGGAAATAAATAAACACGGTGTTCTGTTCGCTACAATTAAAATATTATTTTTATTTCATTATTGTTCGAAATATCATATGTCAATACAAATTAGTATTTCACAAATACACAATGAATAGATAAAATTATCAAACAAAGATGGCAAAATAAAAAAAGATAAACAAAAATTTTAAATTGAATATTATTAACAGCAATGTATCCTGAACAAATTAGAAGTCCATACTACAGAATCTTTCATTTAATGCGAATATAATAAAATCTGTACTCAAAATTTTAGATCATAATTTTGATTATTTCTTCTTAAAAGAAATTTTTAAATGTTACAGAAGCATGGATACATATATATACGAAATTTAGAAAAAAGACGTTGCATAATTCACTGCCAAAAAATGTCAAGGATGGCCTAAAAAACATATTTTACAATATTTATTAAACAAGAATTTCTTTTTAGACAATGATATATTACTTATCCAACAGTTGATAACAAATAATTAATAATCATAAATTAAAGACGGACATAAGAAACATATAATAAAAGATGAAAAACAAAGTAATAATTTGCAATTCTTATTATATCTTTTATTTTCTGATATATATATAATTAAAAATATATACTATAAAATAATATTAAAATTAGAAATGGAATGAAGAATTCATACATCAATCTACATCATTACACTTCAATAAACAGTAAATTTTTATATATATACATATTTCTCACATATTTCACATATTTTGGATAATGCTTTTAATTTTAATATATATTATATTAATCTTTATCTAAGAACTTAATCAAAAGTATGTGAAGTAAAAATTTACTGTTTATTGATATATAATGATGTAGATTGATGTATGATCTCTTCATCCAATTTTTAATTTTAATATTATTTTATAGTATATATTTTTAATTTAATTTAATTTATAATAGATAATTTTATAACATATTCATAATATATTTATAATATGTTAATTTCAATATTAATATGAAATTAATAATTAATTTTAATTTGAATCTATTGCATCTCAGAAGATAGAGAGCATATAGAAATTTGCAAATGATTATTCTATTTCTTCACCTTTTTGAATTATTATATTTCTAAAACGAAGTATCATTCTTGCAGGTCAACGATTATTCAGATATCATAATAACTCTTACCCAAAAGACTCACCCTTCCCGATTGAAATATGCTCCGCAGGAAGTCCATGAAGGAACCCGAGACTGCTGGCAATAGGATTAAGATCAACCACAGATGCATTGTTTCGATTCTCAAAGCGTGGTAAATGGATTGAAGAATTTCTTAAAAATCGTTCTATTTCTCGAAGCTTTCTTCCAAGATTTATCGGAACCCAAGATTTATTTCAATTGACGAAACTTTCTTTTCATTCTTCGTATCGTTGCAGTTGCCGAATGCCTTGAACATGAGCTTCCTTCGATGGTGTCCTCGCTGGTACACGTGACATGCGGTCGTCCAAGAGGACTGCGAACTTCGTTATACACATACCGTTATTTCCCTATGCACAAACCGTTCGAGACAGACATTCATACGTGAGTACTTTCTTGTCAATGACCATAATGTATTCTGTTTGTTTGGCAAACAGTATTTGCTGTTCTGAGAAAAACTATAAAACGTTAACCTTCTCTAATAGGATTATTTGTATACAGGGTGTTTCACTATTAATGGTACGACCTGGCAACATATGTTATCTCATGAAAAAATAAATCGAGAAGACACCATAACATTTTTTTATACGAAATTTCATTTTGGAGAAAATCGGGGACGAAAATTTATCAGGTATTTGTGTACTAAATATAAATTTCCAGTTGTCAGACTTTTATTTCTATTCGTGTCGGTACTCATAAATATGAGCAATCTGCGTTTTGCGATTATGGTTATTGCTATAGAAATTGATCGAAATTTTGACTGTTGCGTTGCATACATAATTATTCACTTTGAATTAAATTATTATGTACTACTTGTACTGCATCATAAATGTTTGTATCTTTTAATTCTCCAAAAGAAAAAGTAACGTTCACCTTGAATATCTCAATACTTTTATTGTTTTTAGAATGCAATTTTAATTTAAAAATGATAATGTTGATAGCAAGTAGATAATAACATTGCTTATATTCATAAGCATAAACAAAAATTTAACTTCTCAATGTATACGTTTTGTACATATATAAAAGATAATTTTACCAATTTGATTCAATCAAAAACGAAGATTCATATAAAAAAATATTATTTTGTTTTTTAACAATTTAACAATTTAACAATGTATTTCTTTTCAAGATTAGGTTCTTATTCGAAGTTTCAAACTTATATAATTTTCAATGAAATTATATTCTTCTGACAAGGAGAGCGCCAATTCTACGGGTCACTGATTTAGTTGAAACTTTGCAGGTTTGTAGATATCGTCATGCAGTTTAAGAAAATATATCATTATAGTCGCAACCACTTAATAGTTTTTGAGATATTTATGATTAAAGTTTTATTACTTTTTTAATTATAGATTTATTTCCAATAGTTTTGGAGTGGAGTCGTAGCCTAACGGCGACTGTCAAGAATTTCAGTGCTGGAGTACCAGGGTTTGATTTCCCGTCCATAGTTTTGGTAGTTTTTTCCATTTATTTCTTATCTTGTATTCATTTTTCGCCTATGAAAACATTGTAAATAAACAGTTGTAAATAAAATTTTTTAATAAAAGAATTAATTTTTTACGCTTTCTAATGCTAGTATATATTTATTACAAAATAATAAGAATATATGCAAGAAAAACACTTTTCTATAGCAATCTTATCCACTACAGAAAGAAAACGAAAATATAAATAATCACTAGATACAGGAAATACAGAACCTATCGATCATGTAAGTATCAATTATTAAATTAAGCATCGTATAAGAATGTTGCTTATAATTCCAACTTTGCTGTGCAGCTATAAATGTTCATGAATTAATTACAAAAACTTGGAAATTTATTAATTTTCTACTGCCGAATAAATACAAATTTTACCGCCTGCGATCAGCGCCATCTATGATTTGGGCTCAAAAATCAAGAAAGTGATAGGAATACAGAATAGGTAAGGAGGTCGTCTATACCTCGTCACGTGTTAGACAAGGACAGAGATGGGATAGAAAAGGATAGAATGGCTCCAGCAGTGAAAAATTATTAATTATTCAATATCCGTAAATAATTTGTGAACTTTTATAATTTCATTGTAAAGCTGGAACTCCAGGCTATATTCTTATATAATTTTCGTAAAGAATTTAACTCTAAATTGATAGTTACTAATTTCTGTTTGATGGCGTCTATGATTCCGTAACGGCGACCATCACGATCTTCCGTGAAAATAAGTAATACTAAACGAAACTAGAATCAAAATGTGATCAAAAGTAATATGAGAAGATTCGCAAGAACATTGATTTTATAATGAGCGCATAAAGTTTCATAAATTAATCGCGTAAAGGATAGTAATTAATGAAAAACCAATGGCGTCTTCGACAATTTTCTACAACAATTCAAACAGTGTGCAGAACAATAATTAATAATTAATTAATCAGGGCCAAAGTTATATCGAAAAATATATTGGAAAGTTCGTTAAGGACCTGGCTTTACGATGCAATTATAAAAGTTCATAAATTAATCACAGATATTTAGTAATTAGTGAATTTTCCACTGACGATTTAGTTTATTAAAATATATTCGGAGTACATAATCAGAGTTAGTAAATTGGCATCAGAGCCATCTATGACTTTAGACACGAAGCTCGAGTTCGGCAAGATGAGCACAGATGGCGCCAGGAGAGCGCTTGAACCGCGTAACGTGATGAAGGAAATAAATAAATCAATTAAACGACAAAAATAATTAATACGCATTCTGTTCCCTTGTTTTTATTCACTTAAGAACCCCATAAAGTTTTCTACATTCTTTAATAAGTTCAGTCCACGGAGTGGGTTTAATTGGACAATCAGCATTCGCTTCTTTATCTGGCAGAATAGAAATCTGTGCGTATGTCAATACAATGGTAAAAGCTCCTGTATTAATCACAGAAATTGAATAATTTGTTAATTTTTCTCGAAGGGAACAGGAGAGTTGCACAGAAAATGGGAAAAGAATTGCAAGAAAACGCAGGAAGCATTGTTGTGTTGATGGAGGTGTGGCTGCATCAAGCAAAAGAATGTAAGTTTTTGTATTAACCTAACCTTAAGTTGTAATTAAATAGTGTAACATATACGCCATTGTTTTTCTACCTTTTATTAGTGATAGCAGAGCCTAGTTGTAAAATGACAATATTCTGTTGAAGTAAATGGGCACGTGCAACAAGATAAAAATATTGGACTCGTGGAATATTACCAGCGTAGAGTCATTAGATGCCACTAATTATTTTTCATGTGGAGAAAATATTAAAGCAGTAATACAAGTATGTAAGGTTTGATATGTCCATTTGATTTTAGGTTGACTGGCCATATGACATACAGGATAGACATATTTGATGGTGAATTGAAGATTGAGAAAAGGGAGATGGATGTGGCAGATAAAAATGGATTTAAATTACATTAGGTGATGTTATCTTGTATCAACATGATATGGTGAAAGGTACGAGGTGATCCTGATCCGAATAAATATTGATATCAGTGGTCAAATCCAGAGACGAACGCTAATGTGTTAAGTTTCAGAAAGTTGGCGCTAAATTGTATAAAGAAAAGGGAAATGTTCAAGTGAAAGCAGTGAGAACAGGAAATACACATTATGTAAAATCAAGAAACAGAAAAGAGGCAGCATATCTATGAACAGAGAAAGATGAGTGACATCGATGATTGGATCATGCACATATGAGGACCATTGAAGAGATGGAGAATGAGCAATTGGTAACAGTTATAAAAATTAAAGATAAATTGAATATAGAGTTAATATAAATGTTGCATTAATGCACAAATGTGTAGAAATATCTATAGGAACATGGAAAAAGTAAAAGCAGCAAGAATAATGGGGCTGTGGCACATGGAATTGATTGGGCCAGTGAAGTTAATGTTAAAAGGAGATAAAGGTATGTCTTATCTGCTGATGATTATTCGAGAAAAGAACCACTTGGTTGACTGATTTATAAATGATTAAAGATTTAATATGAAATATTAATGACGATGGATTTCTTTTATTATAGGGGACATTCAAACATGAGTAATATTTTGATGCAAGAGCCAGTTACTAAGGGTAAAGAAATAAGTGTTAGTTAATAATATTTCAATGGATTGTATATCTGTTTTTAAAAATTTTACCGGTATACAATATTTACTTTCTAAATTTCTATATCAGTATATTAAATATTTTCTAATTTGAATTACAATAGCAAATAATGAATTTTAGTAAAGTTGATTTTAAAAGTATTTTACATTAATAAAATAATATATTTGTTATAGCTCTGTTATAATGAAAACAACTGTTGATGATATTGAATTAGAATTATGGGCAAAAGAAACTCCGAAGACATGTAGAAATTTCATACAATTATGTATGGAAGGTTATTGGGATAACAACATATTTCATACACAAGGTGGTGATCCTACAGATACAGGAGAAAGTTGTAAAATATATGGAGAGCCATTTAAAGTGAGACCATATTTAAAAGTAAAATGAATTCGTTTTTTCTTCAAAAATAATTATTAGATATATGTGTTTTAGGACGATTTTCGTACAAGATTACGTTCCTGTGGACGAGGTTTAATTCCTGGTGGCTATGCTGGAGAAGATGACAATGGTTTCCAATTCTTATTTACTCTTGGTTCCACATTAGAATTGCATAATAAACATACAATCTTTTGTAAGGGTACTGGACAAACTATATATAACATGCTTGAACTTGAAGAAGCACTTGTAGATGAGGTAAATTTAATGTTTACAAGAATATATATGAAGAATTGATATAAATATAATATTACCTCTTTTTTGTAGAATGCTAGACCATTTTATCCTCCAAGATTGATAAAAATTATGATACTGAACAATCCATTTTCTGATATTACACCAAGGATAATAGTACAGGAAAGTGAAGAAGCAAAGGACAATTCAAAAACTAAAACAGCAGCAATAAAGTAAAAATCATATATGTTTGCAGAATTTAGCCCTGATAGTATTGTTCTTTGTAATAAAAAATATTGTTACAGAGATTTCAATATTCTATCATTTGGTGAAGAAGCAGAGGAGGATGAAGAAGAAACTGTGATATTAAATAAAAAGTTTAGTGATAGGTACAAATCAGCGCATGATCATTTAATTGATGAAAGTGACGACGAAGTAAAAACTAAAGAAGAGTTAGAAGTTATAAAGAAAGAGAAAGAGTTAGTGTTTACATTATAACTATGTTATAGAAAGTGGAATTTTTATTGACTTGTATTATATAATCTTATATTTATATTTTCACAGCAATGAAGGAAAGGATAAAAAGTAAATTGAGAAATACAAAAAAGTTTCCGAAGAAAGTAGAAAATTATAAAATAGATGATGTTGAAGATGATAAAGATATAAAGGAAAATGAATAGGAAATAAAGAACTTATGAGGTTTAGGACGAGAGAAAGCCGCGGAGATGCACGATAAGAGAGATAGATACAAGAAAGACCAATATCTAGAATTATTAGGATAAGTCATATATTTGAATAGAATCATTTGCAGTAATGTATATGTCTATAAATATTGTTACATTTATATATGGACATTATAATGAAAATTATTAAGTGTATTTATTACGAAACATCTGTTTC